ACCTAGCCACCAAAAGGTGGCCGAGGCACCAGGTGGCCGAGCCACCAAAAGGTGGCCGAGCCACCAAAAGGTGGCCGAGGCACCTAGCCACCAAAAGGTGGCCTAGCCACCAAAAGGTGGCCTAACCACCAAAAGGTGGCCGAGGCACCTAGCCACCAAAAGGTGGCCGAGGCACCGAGCCACCTAGAGGTGGCTCGGTTTTGGCCGAGTCCTCCAAATGTTGGTTTTTTTTGTTTTCCGGTTTATCCGAACTCTGATTTGTTGATCTGAACTCTGATTTGGCAGTCCACCTAGAGGTGGCTCGGTTTTGGCCGAGTCCTCCAAATGTTGGTTTTTTTTTGTTTTTCGGTTTATCCGAACTCTGATTTGTTGATCTGAACTCTGATTTGGCAGTCCGGATCCTGATTTGGCAGTAAATCCGCTTCGGTGTTTAACCTCGTCGCCTCGATGGTTCGTTGGTTTGTTGAATCACCGTGCCGAGCTGTGTTAAGGGACCTATAAGCAATTTTATACGCCTACAACAAGTTCATTCATGAGAAAGAAAAGAGGCGAAACATGCACAATGGCCAAATATGTGTAACTGGAAAATTCCAGTCCGATCGACCGCCACGATCGACCGCACTCCGGTCGACCGCCACGGTCGACCGCGAAACCTGCAGAAAGTCAGATTCCTGTTTTGAGTTGGTTTTGGTTTTCTAAAGCCCATATTCATTTTCACTGGTTTATATATCAAACTTTCACGAATTTTCTCAGTTTTCTAAGAACCCTAACAGCCACCAAACCCCCACAAACCCTAATTTGATTCTTGGAGAATATTAGAGGCTTTCAAGTGGATTTTTCGGGTGATTTTGGCTTTTGGATTGGAGATCTGCTTTGGCTTGGCATCCTAAAACGTTTTTCTACAAGTTTCAGGCGAGTTCATCTCTGCTAATCCCCCTCCTACTTTTTAAAACGTTTTTTAAGAGTTTCTAACATGTTTTGTAGATCCAAATCAACTAGTTTATGAATAAAAGTCAATTCTTTTGTATTATATGTATAAACACTAGGTCTTTCCATGTTAAAAAGTTTGAGAACGAATTTACAGAAGTATGTAAGAACTGAAAATGATTTAAAACGTGGTTTAATCTAAAGAAAGATGATTTGTTCTTCGTTTCGAGTTTTTATGCATGACTTAGGATTTTGAATATAAATTTTATTCAAATAATCATGCTATATATGTTGAGTTTGTTTTCAGAAGTTTTTATCTACTGTAGACATGCTCTCATGCAAGTTTCATGTTGTTTTAATTATGTTTGAATCATCTAAACACGGCGTGAACACGACACATACAACCAGATTGAGAATCTGGAATATCAGCCCACGGTCGACCGCGCCATAGCGGCGGTTGACCGCGTGCAGGACAGAGGCCTGAGTAGGCTCTGGAACCCGTCGCGGTCGACCGTCGTTCTTGTGCGGTCGACCACCATACAGTCAGTGGCCCTGTGCATGTTTTTCTTCGTTGTTTTGCTTTTCGAGTGAGTCTCTCGACTTTGCACTGTTATGATACAATGTTTATGAACTGTTTAACATCTGAAATATCAGTAAACACCAGATATGGACACGTACACCAAGATATGTACACGTATGCTTAAAATATGATGTGTTAACATGATAAATAAGAAAAATGTACAAATATTATGTTTACAGAATAGGGAGATGACACCTATTTTCGCAGGGCGATTGAGTAAGAGTATTACAAAAGTATCGTCATATTATGTTTCCGGAATAGGGAGATGAAACCTATTTTCGCAGGACGATTGAGTAAGAGTATTACAAAAGTATCGTCATATTATGTTTTCGGGATAGGGAGATAAAACCTATTGCCGCAGAGCGATTGAGTAAGAATATTACAAGAGTATCGCTAATGTATAAGAGATGCACATTTGTAAGTAATATAAATTATAAATTGGTTTCCATTTTTGAATACCCGCGAGTAAGGTGCTTTCTCTGAGACCGTGACTTACACAATATGGTATTTGGTTGGCTTTTGTTTGGATGAGTTCCTTTTATGTTCGATCCATCTACCCGAGTGTAGATCAGGATGAGATATTTGTTCTACAGGTTTGAGGTTTGGTGTATTATCTATTTGTTTGTTGTTGTTCATTCATAGAGTTTGGAATTTGTAGTTAGGGAGTCACAATTTGAGACATGGTATATACATAAGGGTTTCCTTATTTGGATTATTTCGCTCGACGTACTAACTCTCGTGTTGTGGATTCCTAAATACTAGTCTCCAGTTAGATTTATATGAATGATTCTATACTTATGTATTCTCTATATTTTCTATACACTCCTACCTCTTCCCTTAGGGAGAGGTGGAGATGTTCTCGCTATAGCGCTTTGACGCTCGTTGTTTCCCCCCCTTTCAGGCAGCGAGTCCAGCGCACAGAGAGTCGCGGGTTGATAAGATTTCTGCATAGATCTCACCTAGCTATTTATTATTTAGTAGTTATTTCAGAACTCCACAGTTAGTTATTTATGTTCAGACTCTAGACTTGTATTTCATTTTGTAGAGGCTGAGAGTCATAGTGATATTTTATTTGACTCATTGTACTTGAGGTTTATTTCAGACTCAGAGGTATTTCTACTCTATTTTAGTTGGGCTCACTGATGATTATTCTCATGCTTCCTTTGTGTATATTTGGCTTTACTCTATTTCTTTTACTTGCATGTCTGTACATTCACCTATTTGTTGTTTCCACTAGAGAGATAGTAATTGTGATGGTGAAACATGTCCTAGTACGGTGTTTGATGTTTGGCAGATTTGACAATCCGGGTTTCACCTTGGACTGCGGCCTCGCGTGAAACCTAGGGCGTCACAGGGTATTTATAGGTGCAGAATAGGTGACATGCAATGAAATCCTAGTGGCCAAACACGAATCCCCAAAAATCGTTGATGCTTCCAAAAATTAAAGAGTTGTTATCGTCAGCCGAAGCGACCTGTCACATACGCTCTATGTTGAAGCAAAATGTCAAATGATAGCTGTTTCCCAAAATCAATTTGAGTCCCCAAGGCAGCAAAAATTCGAAACGGTTCAGTTTCTCTCAAATTCAGCTTCTCGAGTTTGAGTGAAAAGGGCCAAGATTGTATCCTGAGAGCTACCAAGTCTAAGATCCTAAGAGTTGCCCAAGTGTTACATTAACGAGCCGTGTCCTATAATATGAAAGCCCCACCCCGGTGTTAGAACCTCTAATCTCTCTTGCAATTCGAGTCTGAGATGAAAGACATCTTCAAGCTGGGACATGTTAAAAGAATCATGAGTCGAGATGAAAGATGTCTTTTGCATAGACTTCAATAAGCAATGTCTCGAACATTTAATGCATGACTAGTCAGCACCTATACTATGCTGTTTAGTCACCATTGCATTAAATGCATTGCCAGAGTCATTATGACTTCTCCAGCCG